GAGGAAACACACAAATAGGGAAGAAGGCCACGAGAAGATAGGGGCAGAGACCGGCACGATGCAGACGCAAGCCAAGGGACACCTTGAGTCACCAGGTGCTGGGAGAGGCCTTCCCCACACCTTGTTTCAAACTTCAGACTTGCAGACTGCAGACTGGGAAAGGATTGACTCCTGTTGCTTCAGCCACGAAATGTGCGGTCTTTGTCACGGCAGCCCTGGGATACCCAGATGCTCTCCTTTTGTCTGCCTTGGGTGAGGTGATGAGTTCACCTTGAGCTGCTCCTCCCTCCATCTTCCGTGCACCACCCTCAGGCTATTGACCACGCCCAGAGTCCCTTGTACATCTTCTTACTAAATACGATTTCATTAAAATATTAAAATAAAATACCTCATATTTTAAAATCAAGTTCAGATCAACCCCCTTTTAAAACTCAGTCCTCAGCAAAAAGGGCCGTGCGAGTACAAGGTTGCTATGATAACTACTGACGCTTTTAACACCCTCTAAAATCGACGCGTGACTGCTGGAAAATGGAGGGCTTGTGTCGCACCTGAAATTACCTCACACCCCATCCTGCGTTCTTTCGTGCCTTGCTTCGAGAACCTCAGAACAAGTAAATTACAAGAGGAAAAAGTACTTTTCTTTTGCTTTTTACTCCCAAAAGAAAGGTACCTGAAAAGCTGATATTTCTCCCTCTGCTCTGGCCACAAAGCCCACATCTTTTCTCCACCCTCTTCTCTCTGATCCACATCTGCGCTTTTCGTGATCTTTGAAGAAAACATGCATTGAGGCCCCAGACGTGAAACCTCTCTAAGCCTCCACTGTTCATCTGCAAAATGGAATAACCACATCCACCTGGGAGAATTGCTGGGGAAGGGAGGTAAGAGAAGGGCACAGGGTGAGGGATTCCATCTTTATGAGATATCCAGAAGAGGCAAATCCACAGAGGCAAAAAGCGGAGCCACTGTTGCCGAGATCTAAGAGGAGAGGGGAGCGAGAGTGACTGCTCGTGAGCACAGGGTCTCCTTCTGAGGTGAGGACAACGTTCTGGAATGAGAGCGTGATGGTGGTTGCACGGTATTGTCAATGTACGAGTACCACCGAACTGTTCACTTTAAAATGGTTAAAATGGCGCCTTTTGTTTTCTTTTTTTTTTGAGATGGAGTCTCACTCTTGTTGCCCAGGCTGGAGTGCAATGGTGTGATCTTGGCCCACTACAACCTCCGCCTCCTGGGTTCAAGCAATTCTCCTGCCTCAGCCTCCCAAGTAACTGGGATTACAGGTGCGCACCACCATGCCCGGCTAATTTTTGTGCTTTTGGTAGAAACGGAGTTTCACCATGTTGGCCAGGTTGGTCACAGTCTCCTGACCTCAGGTGATCCACCTGCGTCAGCCTTCCAAAGTGCTGGGATTACAGGCATGAGCCACTGTGCCCAACCAAAATGGTCCCTTTATGTTAGGTGTAGTTTACTGGGGGTATTGTTGTGTTTTATTTGGCTAAGAAGCATCTGTCTGTGGAGGAGTGACAATGGCCATGTCCCTCCGTCCCTCTGAACCCTCAGTATCCTCATTGGCAAAATGGGTGCATTGACGGAACCCATGCCATGGGTGGTTGTGCCCATTACACCTGCCAATCCTTTGGGCTCTGCCAAAGTACTGACATGCTGCCGCTGGGAGGGCTGAAGGTCTAGTGCAGATCTAGAAGCACCTGACCTTGGGCCTCCCAGAATGTGCACCCAGGAGATGTTGGGCACCATTTGATGATCTCAGGACAATCTTAGCCAAGTGCCCACACTTATGGGCATGCTCAGCGAGTGTCCTTTCCCTGGAAGGCCCCAGGCGGGTCCATATGGCTTTTGTTCACGAGGCCTGTTCCTGGTAGTCTCATTCAGGATAACACATCAGTCTCAAGCATGTCATACTTTAAGCTCTCGTAAGCTGGTCTGAGCAATTGGGAACTCTACATTTAATTCTGCTATCTAATTTCAGATGTCCCTGCTCTTATGAGTACAAAAGCAGCATAATTTTTAATTAGTGGGTAAACAGCAAATAATGAATGACAGTAAGTGGACACCACTGTTAATTAAAAATCCATGGTTGATAATAACCCATTTGGTCCATGCATTTAACTCCGTCTATCAGGTCCCTGCGAAAAGTTGCGTAACCCAACCCACCGCACCATCTGCTTTCAGCTGTTATTTCTTTAGTTAAGACTTTTTTAGAGGAAAAGAAAGTGGGGGGAAGCAAAGAAAATCCAACATCTACTCCAAGAGCTGGTTGGAGAAAATGTCATGGAATCATTTCCAGTTGGTTCATTTTGTTTTTGCAACCTTGATGTTGAGGCTTCACGCATGACCACGAGGCGACCTGATGCTCCACTCCGGGGTGCTCCTGGAGAGGTGCGCAGCTTTCCTCTGTGTGTGTGTGTACGTGTTCTGAATGCAGCAACGCTTCATTGTTTCTCAGTCTCCTGACATAATTAAATCCCAATTCCTCACAGAAAAACAAGATCAACTAAAATGCACTGAGCAGAAACACGGGATCTGAGGATTCATGACAAAACACCATGTCAGGGCCATCTAGTCTCGGTGCCTTCAGGGAGCGTGCAGGGGAAGAAAAAGAAAAGAAAAGCCTTGTTTTCTTCTGAACAGAAAACGTTTTCTCAAGAGCCTGAGTTTTGTGCAAACAGTGACAAGATAATTTGCAGGGCCCATTCTCTACTTTACTCTGAAACATAAGCTGGATTTTCCTACCAGGCAACTATTGCTGACCTCTTTTGATCCTTCTCCTCGCTCTGCCTTCGTCCGTACCCCGAAATCAACACTTTTGGACAGGTTTCATTGACACTGGAGATGTTCAAATTAACCTGCAGAATTGAATCCAGGGAACCCAATGTCTTCCTAAGAAGGGAATTGCAGAAGCCCCCAAATGCACGAGGTATTGACTCTGAAGTGCACCCACCAGCTAGGGATCCTGGTGGGTTGTATGGGCACCTGGCCCAACTTTGGTGCCTACCCACCCACTACCACATCCTGCCACAAGTTCCTGCGAATTAGACGTGCCATGTGAACACAGAACCACCACAGCCTGTCTTTCAAGGCCCCGCTGGCATTTCACTGACTCCGCATAGTGGCCCCGAGGGCCAATTAGTGTGGGGACGCCTTGGCCTGTGCTGGCTGCCTATTTGTTTTCATTTCTCCTATTTGGCTAATTAAAGCCAATAAATCAGTTGCAGGATGAACCATGATTACAGCAGGGACCTAGGGCTACACCAGCGTTTGTACTCATGGCTTCGTCTATTCAGTTGGCGAATGTTTATTGACTGCCCTGGGTTTTACCCCATCTCCAAGTCAGCCCCTTACGTGCTCGCTGGGGATGCAAGACAAGTACTGTGAGGCTGTCACACCCCGAAGTCCAACAACCTGGGCTCACATCCTGGCTTTGCCACATCCGGGTGGCACGCGCCCCGTGGAAGCTGAGCCCATCTCTGAGCTGAGCCGGCTTCTCTGCCCACGAGAGGAAGATAACGCTAACACCATCTCCAGGGTTATTGCAAAGATCAGATGGGAACAATGTATAAAAGTGTAAGGGGTCCACACCCAGTTAAGAGGACCTGCTGCTGTCATCCCCTCGTCAGCATCGGCATCACTCCTGCCTTCTCAGCTGATCACTGGGGACCCCAGAGTCTCCAGGTGCAACCCCCAACCTCAAGGGAACTGAGGAATCTGCTCTGCTTCCTTTTCCTAAGTACCCCTGGGGCACAGAGAGTTTGGGGCCAGTCAGCTCCAAGGGGACAGTGGGTAACCCTCAGCTCTCCTGAACCCCTGCTGGAAGTCTGCCTGTGAGGCCGGGAAAGGGCAGAGCATGCCATCTGATCCCTTTGAAACTCAGCCCCCAGCCCCTCCCAGGGTCTCCTGAAGTTTCTGCCAGGCCCCCACATCCCCTGGCCTGGAGTCCTAAGACTCAGCCCCTCCTGACCCACTCCAGCCCCAGGCTCAGTGGGAGGCTTGGAAGCCTCGCTGCAGGAGCTGGATCTCCCAGGCCGGGCCGGTGCCCCCTGAGCACAGCCCGTGGCTGTGGTATTTGGACACAGCTCACCACCATCTGGGCCGTCTCAAGCCCTGAGTAGAAGTGACGGTTTCTGGGAGAGCTGCTACTCTCTAGCAGCTGAAGATCTTGGCACCCTCGCCTCTAAGCAGCCCTAGAAGAGATTGTGAATATCCCCACACTGGGGCTTGACTTGTCTCCAGAACCAGCCAAGCACATCTGGGGGTCACTACAGAGGACCTGGGGCCTGTGCTGCGGCGCCTGCTTCCCCTGTCCATCTTCCCATGTCCATCTTCCCGTGTCCATCTTCCCCTGTCCATCTTCCCCTGTCCATCTTCCCGTGTCCATCTTCCC